TAAGGACACAAGCATTTATTTTTTGCATTTTTTGATGTTTGTGTGCAAAGATACAATTTGCATTTTTCTCATTTATTGCACCAACACATTTATACTGTTTTTTGACATCATCAGAAGTGTTATTCAAAGCCAATCACAATTCTTTCACATATGAAAGCACTGGATTGGCTAAGCTTGTTAAGGAGGCAGATCAGAGGCAGAGCCAGCACAAGCCAAACACAACCCTGGCCAATCACTATCTCCTTAAAGAAATGCATTGAATCAATGTATCTCTATGAGGAAAGTTTAGTGTCTCCACGCACTGCCCAAGGAAGTACCTCTTGCAGCCATCTAAGGAGTGGCCAGTGGCGGTATCCCTAGGCTGTAATGTAAACACTGCATTTTCTCTGAAAACACAGTGTTTACTGCAAAAAGCCTGAAGGGAATGATTATACTCACCAGAGCAAATGCAATAGGTTGTAGTTGTTCTGGTGTTCTATAGTGTCCCTTTAATAACGTTCACAGAAAACTAAATTGCCACACAAAATTATATATTTATCTAAAGCAGACATCAAAGGCTATTTATCTAAGGGTTTTTGACACTTTTTATGTAGCTATTTAACAGCCAATCTTGCTAAATATTGTAATAAAATTGTGTTGTGTTTTTCTGATTTTTAACCTACCTACATATAACAAGTTTTTTTTGTTTTTTTTGTCAATCTCTTTTTTTTATTGAGACATTGAGTTGTATGGGATACAGAATGAAGGAAGGGAGACAACAATGTACCATACATAACAGGTATAATCCAATACATTTTAAGACAATTCTTAGTAACTTTGAGCCTCTATTTATGTTATGAGAAATATTTCTAGAGAGAATAACTTAGTGGTAGCAAAACGGTTGGTATTGTGTGAAGGTATCCTGTAACTATGTGACAATCATGCTTCTCGGTATTCTAAGCGAACAGCAGTATGTGGAGCTTAGGTATCTCAAGTGTTGAAAATTTAGGAGATTACAGGGTGTTCGGTCGAGGGCAGGTGAGGAGCACATGGGCACTCACTTCAGCTCCCAGCGAGCGTGTAGTGAAGTTTAGGCCATACGCTTTGCCTGGGCTCGCTTTAAATGAGTGCGTTAGCGTTGTTCCCATTATTAGGTGATAATTTGGGTTGGGTGTACCTAGCAGATATTAGCCTGGTTAGTGAGCGCTACCCATAGCGGTGAACCCTTACAGGGGGAATAGCTAGACGTCTGGGTTGTGGGCACGTATATGCATTGCGGTCCCCTTGTTGCATGGGTATTTTGCGAGCCTGCAGCCCTTATGGTGTGTAAGCCTACCCGGCACTTGTCGGTATGTCTCCCCCAGTTGGTCGTTTGTAATCAGGGGTCAGTTATCTGTCGGGGGTCTAAGAGCTAAGTGTCATGAGTGGTGAAGTATACGTGGGGGGTCTCAGGTCTCCTCGTCCCGGTAGTCCCCAGGCTCCCGTGGGTGCGCTGTTTCCCCTCCATGCGTCGGACGTCAGCCTCTACCATGTTTGTGTCGTTGACGTCGTGCTGCGTCACCCGGGTTAGGGGGCTCTCATAGCTGAGTGTCCATCTTGCGTTACCCTACTTCTCTCCCACTCACGGGGTGTCTATCAGGGGGCATCAGTCGCTTGTTAAACGATGTACGGGGTGGCGCTGATTCTAGGTATTCGGTTGGCCCAGTTTTAGCCCGCTTTAACTGTACCTCTTACGCCGAGCGCTAGACGTATTCGGTACAGGAGGCCTAGAGGTGTGAGAGTAGGTAAAGCCGAGTGAGTGGAGTTACAGGAAGTAAAAGAGAGGAGGGGGGGGAGTAGGGAAGCCAGACGGCATAAGGGAAGGGTGGTAGAGGACAATGCGATCTTCCTGAGGCTCCCCCCTACGGGGTGCAATCCCTCTCTGCGCCTCTCCACAGTGGCTCCTCCAGGGCACTTTCGAGTGACCTATGCAGTTCCACCTCCAGCTGTGAGGGTGGCGTCGGTCGTTGGTTGTGTCCTGGTAGTGCGATTCTCAGCAATGAATATGAGCCATGGGGTCCAGATCTGTAGGTAGCGTTCCGTGGTGTTCCGGAGAGAGGCTGTGAGTTGTTCCATGCCATGAATCTCCTCCACTTTGTCCATCCAATGGACAAGAGTGGGCACCTGAGGGGACCGCCACCTGACCGGGATAAGGAGTTTGGCCGCATTTAAGAGGTGTCTGGTCAGGGATTTTTTATAGCACGATAAGGGTAGGGGGGTGTGGTGAAGGAGCATCTGCAGCGGTTGAAAGGGGAGCTCTATATCCATAATATCCTTAATCTTTGCATGGATTTGCCTCCAGTACGTGGCTATCTTTTCGCATGACCACCAAATATGCAAGTCAGTACCCGTCCCCGTGCCGCACCTCCAGCAGACCTCGGAGACCTCGGGCATCATCCGATGAAGCCGCGCCGTGGTCCTATACCAGCCAGTCAGTAGTTTATAATTTAGCTCCTGGTGTTTGGAACTCATGGCGCTTTGGTGGGTCAGGATGTGGATTTTCGTCCACTGGGGGGCTGAAAGTGTGGTGCCCGCGGCCTCCTCCCAGCGTGTCATGTGTTTCATGGGTTCCCCGGCGGATGCGGTGATGATCATTTTGTAGAGGGTGGAGACACCGCGGGTCATATGGGTTTGTTGCACGCACAGATCCTCGAGTTCCGTGGTCGGTCTATGGAACAGGTTGCGTCCAGTATGTGACTGATAGTAGGTCTTAACTTGGAAGTACCGGAACCTGTCCAAGCCCGATGGCACTGCCTCTCGTAGCAGGTCCGGGAGTTGCTTTAATGCGTCCTCTGTACACCATTGGCGCATGAACGTCCATTCCGCCTCTCCAAACGCCTCGATATCCCGGGGAGTGAGGCTCCCCGCGAGTTCCGGGTTGTGGGTGATTGGGGTGAGTGGTCCCGGTGTGGTGGACAGCTGGAGCTTCGTCCATATGTAGTACCAGGTCCGCAGTGTCGCCCCTATCAGAGGGTGGTTCCGAGTCCGCGAGTTGGTCAGCGGGCCCCCAAGCCAGGCAACTGCCAGCAGGGCGCCTCCCAATTGTGCCCGTTCCAGGTTGATCCAGGCCTTGTCGGTCCTGGGCACGTGCCAGTCCACTACCCTGAGCAGGTGTGTCGCCCTGTGGTAGTCCCTTATAGAAGGTAGGCCGGTTCCACCCCGGTCTTTCGGTTGGTGAAGGTGGATTTTCTTCAGTCTGGGGATCTTAGAGCACCATATAAACTGTGTGATGGCTGCCTCGACGGATCTAAAGAAGGAGATAGGCGGGTTAATGGGGATGGTTTGGAATAGGTAAAGGAGGCGGGGTAAGAGGTTCATCTTTATAGCATTTATTCTTCCGAACCAGGACACACAGAGGCTCCCCCAGCGTGTCAGGTCCGTTTTCAGAGTGTGAAGCATCGGGGCGAAGTTGTGGGTGTAGAGTTGGGTTAAGTCCGCCGAGAGCCATATTCCCAGGTATTTAATTTTATTGCAGCACCACGTGAAGGCGAATTGGGTCTTCAAGTGTTCGGTCAGCTCCTTGTTAATGGTGATGGGGAGTGCCTCTGACTTATCCGTGTTCAGCTTCATATTAGACACCCTACCGTATTCTGCGAAGGCCCTCAGCAAGTTCGGCAAGGACACCAATGGATCGGCAACGAAAAACAGCATGTCGTCGGCATAGGCAGCTACCTTATGCGTCTGCCCGTAGACATTGAGTCCCCCAATTCCCCCGTCCCGCCTGACCGCCCCCAGGAATGGCTCCAGGGAGAGGGCAAACAGAAGGGGGGAAAGCGGGCAGCCTTGTCGTGTTCCGTTTCGGATCCGGATAGGTTCAGATAGTGCGCCATTGATCCGGATACGTGCAGTCGGGTCCACGTACAGGGAGGAGATCCACGCCAACATATGCGGCCCAAAACCTAGGGCCCTCAACGTTGCCTTCATGAAGCGCCAGTCGACCCTGTCAAAGGCCTTCTCCGCATCTGTCGAGAGGAGTAGGATCTTTTGCGAGGACTGCCGTGCCGCCTGGATGACATTCAGGGCCCGTATAGTGTTGTCCCTAGCTTCTCTTCTCGGGATGAATCCGACCTGGTCTGGGTGTACCAGCCCTGGTAGGATCCTGCCGATGCGCGTGGCGATGACCTCCGTGAAGAGCTTTAGGTCAGCATTTAGGAGGGATATCGGCCTGTAGCTCGCACAGCTGGACGGGTCCTTTCCCTCCTTAAGGATAACGGTGATAGTGGCCGTTAGGAGGTCCCGTGGGAGGGCCTCGCCGTCCAGGAGGGAATTAAGGCCCGTGAGCAATTTAGGTAGCAGGACATCACCGAATTCCCTGAGATATCTTGCCGGGAAGCCGTCCGGGCCCGGGGCCTTGTTCAGTTTGGTGCCCTTCAGCGCTAATTGGAGTTCTTCCAGGGTAAGAGGGGCATCCAGTTCCTCCGCCTGTTCGCGGCTTAAAGTGTTTATAGCGTGATTTTGAAGGTATGCTTCTATCTCTGTGTCTCTGCGGCGGTGGGCATCATCGGAGTGGTCTGTGGGTAAGTTGTAAAGCTCTTCGTAGAATCCGCGAAATGCGCCCATTATTCTATCCGGTAGCTGTGTGGTCGACTGGTCTCTAGTCTTGATCTTCGTGATGTGGCACAGTCGGTGCCTCTTCTGAAGCGTCCGGGCAAGAAGACGGCCACACTTGTTGGAGTATTCGTAGAAGAAGCGTTGGGATTTACGGATGGTGTACTGTAGCTTCCCGTGCAGAATATCCCGTAGGGACTTCCTGGCGTTCAGGAGGGCTCTATAGTTATCGGTCGTCTGGGTGGTCTTGTGGTCATTTTCCAGTTGTGTGATTTGTGTGGTTAGATCCCTTATACGCTGCTTCTGTGTCCTGCTCCGGTGTGAGCATATTTTAATGAGCAGTCCCCGAATGACGCACTTATGCGTTTCCCAAATCGAAAGTGCCGGAATGTCCGGGGAGTCGTTTTCTTCGAAGAAGTTTGTGAGAGCCGTACGGATGTCTGCGGCAATAGGCACGTCGGTAAGGATGGATTCGTTCATGCGCCACTGACGCCCAGTCGGGCGGAACAGTGGGGATCGAATTTGTACAGATACCGGTGAGTGGTCCGACCATCCCATGGGACGTATGTCTGCCGAAAGGAGCATGGGTAAGAGCTCCTGGGCCAGGAACACATAATCCAGTCTGCTATATCGTTTGTGGACTGTAGAGTAATAAGTAAAATCTGTGTCGCAGGGGTGAAGCGCCCTCCAGGCGTCCACCAGGCCGGCGTCCCGCAGCCCATTTCTGATGGACCGTAAGCCATGTGGTGAAAATGCACTCACTCCTCTGGATGTGTCCGTTCCTGGTTCCAGGGCGACATTCAGGTCCCCGGCCATTATTAGAAAGCCCTCGCGGAACCTCTCCAGCTTGGTCAGCGTCTGTCTGAGGAATTTGCGTTGGTGTATGTTCGGGGCATATACGCAGGCAAAGGTGTATATGCATTCCGCTATAGAGCCTTTGATGAAGATGAAGCGTCCCATTGGGTCCGACTCAATCCCCGTACAGACGAACGGGACTGTGCGGGCCAGTAAGATCGCCACTCCAGCCCTTTTTGTCGTAGGATGGTTTGCAAAGTAACCCAGTGGGAATCGTGAGTCGCGTAGCGATGGGCCCCTGTCCCCCAGGAAGTGTGTCTCCTGGAGGAACGCTATGGATACCTTCTCGCTCCACAGGGAGCGCAGGATATGCGATCTCCGCTCCGGCGCGTTGAGGCCCCTGGCGTTATTTGACCAGATGTGGAGAGGCGCAGGAGTGAACCCCGATCCCATTGTTCCAGGCCAAGGAGGTGTGGGGGGGGGGAGGGGCTGACAGGTGAGAGAGTAGAAAAGAAGGAGAGGGTCTAGTATGGACCTCTCAAGGGTCTCAGAGACTTGACACCGGGGGAGGATGAGTCGCGCGGGCCACTCCTAGGAGGTGGACCGCCGTCTCCCACCGAATTTAGATGTGGTGTCTGTCGCGGGGCACTAGACCAAGCGAGCACCGGCACAGCGCCCGGTCTGGGTGGTTAGCTCACAATGTAACCCACATGCCCAGTGTGGGTGTTCTCTAACTATGGAGTTTGGGCTTGTCAGTTCGTTGCAGGCAATACTCTCTGAGGGTGTCAGTTAGGTGTGTGTGAATCAAAACCACTAGTCGTCTGCCCCCCTGGCCGAGGGCTTGTAGGTAGGTCGGTAGGCGTGATGGCTGTCAGTCCCAGTCAGTCATTTCGGGTCATACGCGGTCGTTCAAGTCCGGCCGGGGGGGGTGGGGCGGCCCATCCTCCCTGGTGTCGCTGTAGTGTAGGAGGGTACCCCTGCCCGCCCAGGGTCAGTGTGTAATACCGGTCTCTTTGACTTTTAGTCCTCTCCAGTGGCCTGGCGAGGAGGGGGGGGGGGGCTTGTGCGCTGTCGGTCACAGGTGGTCTGCGGTCACTTCTCCGCGGGTCAGCGGCAGTAGGGCTAAACGCTGGCAGAGTCGGGGCAACAGCCATGGGCGTGGAACCGTTTGGAGCGTTTAGACCCATACTGTCGTTTTCTACCTTAGTTTGGGCCTGGGTCCCCCTTATCTCAGTTACCCAGAGTCTAGGGGTGTGTGACAGCCAGACTAAGGTCCCCTATCATGGGAGCTGTCTTCGGACATGTTCCGTCCCAGGCTCACCAACCCGTGCTCCTAATCCCCTACCTAACAAGTTTTTTTTTTATTGTGTATTTTGTAATCCTGATATGTACTTTTCCTGTCGAAAACCCCATTTTGTGTTCAACTACATCTTTTGAGTAAAACAATACCCCCAATATACACCTTTGCCACTATCCTGTGAATTTACAGTGCTATAAATGAGACCTGACCATTTCAGTTTTCACAGTTAGAATTGTGTTAGTTGAATTTGATGGGTCTCATTTTGGGCCATTTTAGCAGTTTGACTGTTGAAATTACCACACAAACACTCACCATTTGTGAAAGTAGACACTCCAAGGTATCTCATATGGTGTAAATTGTGCCTTAACTTGAAAAAATATTTTCCTCAAATTTTGTGGTAATTTTTTTATATAATATTTTTGCTGGCCATTTTTCAAATCTGATATGTGCCACTGTGATCAAACCCCCAAAATGATGTCAAATAACACTTCTGAATGAAACAATATGCCAATGTATGTCTTTGTCACTATCCTGTGAAGCTACAATGCCATTCAAGAGTCCTGACCATTTCAGTTTTTACAATTTTGATAGATGAATATGATGGGTCTATGTCTCATTTTTGGGCATCGTAGCAGTTTTACAGTTAAAATTACAGCATAAATTCATACCCATTTTGTAAAAGTATACACCATGGGGTATGTCATATGGTATATTTTGAGCCTTATTATGAAGGCATTTTAGCACCAATATCTTTTACATTTTATCGTATTTTTTCATTTTTGTACACACACATTGAACTTTAGCGGGTTATTTTAGAAACGTTATACATGCTACTGTAATAATAAAATCACTAAATTATGCTCAGATATATTTCCTGAGTACAGAATTGCCCTCTTTGCATACCTTTGTAAGGTTTTTTTGAAAATACAGGGCTGAAATTATATCCTGCCCAGTAAAGTTTTTTGAAAAACAAACAAAAAAGGCATATTGAAGATGGGCCAGTGGTGCAATTTAAGGGATTTTAGTACCTGGACACCTGGGGAATCTCACATACATATAGTTTTATTGAAATTACCTTTTTTACCATATTATTTCAAAGTTTGTGGTATTCATTTTTATTTCTCAATTTTTACATACACATAGTAGTTTGAGGCTTATTTTCTTAAATCTCGTTTGTCCCACTGTAATAAAATTATTTTAGCTGTACTAATCAACATCTTCTCTTGAGCACACCAATGACCCATATGTATTTCTTTGGAAAAGTTACAATCTTAATCTAAGTTCCTAAACCTAAACCTAGCCCTAATTTTAAACTAAATGCTAATTCCAAATCTAACCATAATTCTAATCATAAACCTCACCACAACTCTAACCCATACTCTAATCCTATATGTAATCCTAATTACAACCTTAATCCTAACCTTAACAATAATGTTCATAGGCGTGTGCAGCCTATTGCATTAGGGTGTGCACCCTAAACCACAAACACACGCCGTGCGTGTGTGTGTGTGTGTATGTATCTATATATGTATATATATGTATATATATATATATATATACACACACATACACTGCTGTGTGTGCTGTGTGCTGTTAGTGTGATGTGTGTGTGTGAGGGTGCTGTTAGTGTGATGTGAGGGTGTTTGTGTGTGTGTGTGTTTGTGACTGTGCTGTTTGTGTGTGAGGGTGTTTGTGTGTGTATGTTTGTCCTGTGAGGGTGCTGTTTGTGTGAGTGTCGTGTATTTGTAAGGGTGCTGTTTGTGTGTGTGTTTGTGAGGGTGCTGTTAGTATGCTGTGTGTGAGGGTGTTGCGTTTTTTTTAAAGGTGCTGTGTGTCTTTGTGAGGGTGCGGTTAGTGTACTGTGTGTGTGTGAGCAGTATGTGTGTAGGTGCTGTATGTGTGTGTGCTGTATGTTTGGAGGGATTTGGCAGATTAGTAAATCCTTGCTACCATGTGCCATCCCTGGTTGTCCAGTGGAGAGTGAACTCTAGCCTGCGGGGCTAGAGTTAACTCTCGCGAGATCTGAGCGTTGCCGCAGCAACGCTCAGATATCGCGAGAGGAACCTGGCGGAGCTTCTGTCTGGAGCTCCCTGGGTCCTCTCCTGCCTCCCTCCATGCTGCTGTGGGCCGGTGAGGTAGATCTTTGGTCTCCCCACCAGCCCATGGAGGCTTAGAGCAGAGCCGGCACTCAGCGCCAGCTCTGCGTGTGTGTGTGTATATATATATATATATATATAAGCGCACACACACACACTCACAGACACACACACACATACACTCACAGACACATACACAGATACACTCACAGACACACACTCACACACACACACAGACACACCTCACACACACACATACACTCACAGAAACACACACACACTCACACACAGACACACACTCACACAGACACACACTCACACAGACACACACACAGACACACACACATACACACTCTCACACACACACACACACACATACACTCACAGAAACACACACAGATACACTTACAGACACACACACAGACACACTCTCACACACACACATACACTCCACAGAAACACACACACACTCACAGACACACACACTCACACTGACACATACTCACACACTGACACATACTCACAGACACACACTCACACTGACACATACACACTCACAGAAACACACACTGACACATACTCACACACTCACAGAAACACACTCACACTGACATACTCACACACTCACAGACACACACTCACACTGACACATACTCACACACTCACAGACACACTGACACACACACACACAAATTATTATATTTTAATTTAAAAAAAAAAATGTCCACCCAGCCTCCTACCTGGAGTGCTGGTGGACTTTTCCCTGGGGTCCAGTGGGGGCGGGCGCCTCTCTGCAGCTCAGCGCGCGGCGAGGGAGCTCTCTGCTGTCTGCTCTCTGCTCCCTCTCGCCGCGCGCTGATGCCGGGAGCCGGAATATGACGTCATATTCCGGCTCCCAGCTCCAGCAGACAGCCCGCGCGGCGAGAGGGAGCAGAGAGCAGACAGCAGAGAGCTCCCTCGCCGCGGCTGAGCTGCAGAGGGGGGGGGGGGGCAAGAGGTGAAACAGGGGGCGCTCAAAAAAAGTGCAGGAACGCTGTTACTGCAGGACTCAAACCATAGGCGTGCCACGGGGATTAGGGTGTGCCCAGGCACACCCGGCACACCCCGTGCGCACGCCTATGATAATGTTAAAGATTCCTGTGCTCACCATAATCATAATCTGAATCACAATCCAGACCCTAATCTGAAACATAATCCCAATACTACAATTAATTCTAAACCTAATCTTAAACATAAACCCAATACAGGTAGTCCTCACTTACCGACCGGGTTCCGTTCCTACAACCTGGCCGTAGAACGAATTGGTTGGTAAGTGAGGAGTTAAGGGATTCCCTGCTCTGGAGCGCATGTCTGTGTTCAGGGACATTTCCCCAAACATATACAAATGCACAAGAGCAGGGAATCCCTCTAATTTATGCTCGGGGAATTTCCCCGAAGATAGATTAGAGGGATTCCCTGTTCTGTTGCGTTCGTCAATGCTTGGCGAAATGTCCCACGAACATCGCCGAAAGCAGCAGATCAAGGAATCCCTCTAATTCCCACGATGGCTTGCACTTACCACCCCGCAAGAGAGCTGGTTGTAAGTGCGAGCCGTCGTAAAACAGGTAGGTCGCAAAACGAGATCCAACTGTAATAAACCTAATACTTATTCTAAAGCAAATCATAATCCTTAATTCTAATCACTAATTTAATCTTAATCCCAAAGGTTTCCCTCTGCTATTATCAGTATGGATATTAGAAAAAATGATTCTAAACTAAAACTGAGAGAGGTGCATTGCTGCCATCTACTGACTCTGTTCAGAATGGCAGTCTCCTATCTCTAATACTGAAAAAGTATGCCCAATGCATTGCCATTTGTGCTGGACAATTGACAAGCCCAGCACTGATCAGAATGGCATTGTGGCATAGAGGGTGATTCTCCAGGGTCTGTTCAAGCCATGGGGGCCTCCCAAGCACCATAACCAGTAAGAGAAGGACTATAGTTGAGCTTGATCACTAAGCTGCTGTGTTCTCTATGGAGTTAAAAGGTCCCAGCTAACAGAGGAGAGTCCCAGGTA